ATAGTAACTCAAATCCACAAAAAGCCATGAGGCTCAGTAAAGAGAACTACATAGGTAAATATGAAGATGATATAATTTTATCTTCTCTGATTTAAAAGACAACTGTAAAAAGCAATAATTATAAAACTGTACTGATGAGCTTACAACGTATAAAGATTTACCTTATATGACAAGAGCACAAACGAGAAGAAAGAAACAGAGTTATATTGGAGCCAAGTTTTTTTGTACTATTGAAATTCAATGGGCATTAAAGTAAACTATACTGTTTTAAGTTAAGAATTATAATCCCTAGGAAATCATTAAGAAAATAACCCCAAACATATATAGTAAAACATACGACAAAGATTCCAATCATATGAAATGTCCAGAATAGGCACATCCATAAAGAGAGAAAGTAAATTATGGTTATCTAGGGCTGGCTAGGGTGGGAGGTTGGAAGGTGATGGCTAAAGGATGTGGAGTTTCTTTTTAGGGTGACGAAAATGTTTTAAATTTCTTTTGGTGATGGCTGCACAACTCTTTGAATATACTAAAAGTCACAAAACTGTACACTATAAATGGGTTAATTGTATATATGTAAATTATATCTCAATAAAACTTTAAAAAAAACAAGAAAATTAAAGTGATATACTAGAAAATATCTATCATAAAAGGTGACAGTAACAGAGGAACAGAGAAGCCAAAAAGACAAGATATATAGAAAACAAGTAGCAAAATGGCAGATGTAAGTCCCACCTTATTGTTAACTACATTAAATATAAATGGACTAAACACGCCAATCAAAAGTCAGGAAAAAAACATGAAAACATGATCCAACTGCACACTTTTTACAAGAGACATAATTTAGATTAAAAGTTACAAATAGGTTAAAAGTTAAAGAACAGGAAAAAATACATCATGCTAACAGTAACCAAAAGAGAGCTGGAGTAGCGATATTAATAGACCAGATAAAAATTGTTAGTAGAACAAAGAAGGACATTTTAAAATGATTAAGCAAACCAGAACAGTTAAAAACAAGAATATGAGAAAAATTTTAGAAGGCATCTATATTTCTGATAAAAAAACAGTTCAACAGGCTGATGTATAAAACCTAAGGGTTGTGTAGTTGCAGAAATACAAGATGCTGAATAAGATCTATTTGCGATATTTTAAAGATTGCAATAAAATCCGTCTCTTAAAATAAACTCAAATTTACATATTTTACATAATTAGAATACAAATTTAAGAATTTAGGAAGAAATAAATGTCTTTTTCCCCCAGTCACAAAAATTCCAGGATACACAATGCTTGACATACTCTAAAATGAATCCAACTGTACATGATCTGATTTAAGCAAGAAAACTACCTTTTAAAAAGATACTATAAGTGAATAAATGTGTATCTATGTGATTGTTTACTGGCTAACACATGTGTATATCTTAATACATATGTGTTTAACATAGATATAACACAGCATTTTTCACCTCAGTATGAAATTCAGTGTAAGATAGATCCATCATGAACTTTTTCTAGATGTTTAGTTACCAAGGCACCAAAATAACCTCAAAAGATGGCTTCAGCCAGTTAAGACAGATAGCCTGGAAATCAGAAATACAAATCAAGAGCAATGTTCTCTCTGCAGAGGCAGCATAACAAAGTTGTTAAGAACACAGACTTTACAGCTAGAGTTACTTGGTTAAATGAGTCATTATTTAAGGATTAAATGAGTCAATATTCATAAAGCACTTCAAACAATGCCTGAGGGCACAGAGTTATGTAATGTTTACTAAAAAAATCAATTCAATAAGAAATATTTTATCATTAATAACAGATATTTAGTCCACTTATCTGCCTCAACTCTCCTCTTTACTTTGCTATATAGACAGCATCTTAGGTGAGAACTTAGATACTAACAGAAGTAAAATTATCGCCATGTAACTTTTTTATTGTTTAATGTTGAACTGTTCAGAGCCTCTTCCATCCATGATGTCAGACAATTCCCTGAAAATTTTTGACGTTTTTACTCACAGTCTAATTTTTGTTCTGCACAAACAGCTATGGGAGGGCCTCTTCATGTCACTGTCTCTCTCACACTGTCTCTCAGAGGCCTTTCCCTCATCAGAAGAAAACCTCTCTGCTGGATCAAAGTCTTATGGGTTCTATCAGTCCCTGCCTCATTTCCCTTCCTTTTGTCTTTCCAGTTTCCTACAGCTAAGTCCACTGACTTACCCACTTGAAAGCTTAGCTCTGTTCCAGTTGCTGGAACAGACTGACCTGGTACTTGGCACTCCAGCAACTTCTGCCTGCCCCAAGGCAGAAATTGCCTCTGTTCTGATGACAGAGTTCCTGCTTTTGACGTTCCAAGTCATGTGCGCACAGTTTGCAGACAGAGGCTTTTATCTTGGCCTCTATGCCAAGTCTTAGGCCAGCACCTGCCAGGTACATTAGCCTAATCCTAATGGGAAGCCTTGCCTTTCCCTGGCCTATCCCCACATTGCTGCAGCCTAGTTGACTATGAAAAGACCTCCCGGATATTTCCCAAGGTTCCAAGTATCACCTGCATCAGATTTCCCATTCCAGGGTGATGCCTTCATTTGGAACAGTATTTCATCTTGGGGTCTCTGTTGCCAATCGTTTGCAAAGAACACAACCAGACTATCATATCCTCTGGCTACTGCTAAACTTCCACTGTCAGGCCCAACATGTGTTACAATATATTGGTGTCACCTGCTCCCTACTGATGATATCTGCTGTGAATAATCAGTCAAGTACTACCGAATGCTAGGATAAAAACACAGGTTTTGCCCCATTTGTCATCCAGCTGAAATTGTGCTAATTTCAGTTACCACTGTTACCAGTTCAACAGCTAACAGTTTTCTCCTTTGCTTTGCATTTGACAGTCTCTTTTACAGCTGCATCCATCTTAAATCAACCTCTCTATTTCCATCCTATTCTCCCAAGGTCGGTCTTTATTCACGCCCCTCTTTTATATATTTATCTCCTCAAAAAACATCCCTTGTTTTCCTTTGTTTTTTTGCAATAACCCTATCATAGCCATGAATCTTTTTCTTACTCCATTCTATATTATCTTATGATGTTTTCATTCAGGGACTGACTGCAATACATAAAACCTGTTTACTAACATACCAGAAATCAGTTATCCAAACGAGTAGTGTTTTCCCTAGAAATGATTATGTTGGAGGCTATTCACTTATTCTAATGTTATGAATAACCAAAGCATTTCTGGAATTCTTTGAAACATGCCAGTCCTGTATCTCTGATCTTGTCTAAGAAGACCAAAGCTATTACTTTACAGCATTTGATCAAAGGGCAATGCCCAGCTAAATTATTTCTTCCAAAAATTAGATTTATCTACAAAGGATGAAAAACTGCTATTACTGAGGAATTTTTAAACATTATTTAGCCTCTGAAAATAATTACCAAAGTTTAAAATAAATGTTGAGAAAAAGCATCACAGTTAGTGTGCTATTGTGATTGATTTATAAGAAACATGTATTTGGTCACTCAGATAACCAAAATACAATTCTCATATATATATGGATCTTTGTCTACAGTTCCCACCTACAGCTCCCAGAACTCTTGGAATTTTCTAAGTGGTGAGAGTGATGAAGGTGTTTTGTTTATGTCAATGAAGGTGACTTGTGGACACCACCCAAGGGTGGGGACTGGTTGCCAGGAAAACCAGCCATGTAATCAGAGGACTGGAACTTTCAGTCCCACCCCCTGATTTCCAGGGAGGGGAGGGAAGCTTGAAGTTAAATCAATTGCCAATGGCTTACTCAATTATGACAAAGTAATGAAGCCTGCATAAAAACCCAAAATGATAGCTCACTGCCCTCTTTTTGAGAGAGCTTCCATTGGGGGGACCAGAACGTTTCCACATGCCACCATGCTGGGCCCCAGGTGCTGCAAGGACAGAAGCTCCTTTGTCCAGACCTCACCCTATGTATCTCTTCATCTGGCTGTTGATTTGTACCCTTTAATATCCTTGGTAATAAATCAGTAACCTAGTGAGTAAACAGGTTTTCCTAAGCCGTCCTAGCAAATTAATTGAACCCAAGGAGTGGGTCCTGGGAACCTCTGATTTACAGCCAGTCAGTCAGAAGTACAGGTAACAACCCGGACTTGCAACTGGGATCTGAAGTGGAGGGTGATGTTGTGGGACTGCACCTCTTACCTGTGGAATCTGATTCTATCTCTGGGTAGATAGCGTCACAACAGAGTTGAGTTCTCAGACACCCTGTTGGCATCCAAAAACTGCTTGTTGGTGTGGAGAAGCCTCCACATACACACCTGGAATTGGGTCCAGGAACCTTTGCCATTAGACCAAATGGATGGCAGTCTGTGTGTGACTTAACACAACTACCTAATCTCTAAGATATTCTCCCATATATAAACTGAAGATAACTATCCTATCTTCTTACAGGGCTATTGTAGGAATAAAGTGAGAAAGTACACGACATCTCTGAAACCCATAAAGTGAATAAATGTAAGACATTCCTTTTCATGCCTTACTGCTGCAAATTAAAATATATTCAAAACACAATATTAAGCTATACTTATTTTGAAACTGTATTTAGGCCTTTGACTTCAGGATTACGTTGACATTTTTATTTTGCAGGAGGTGAAAGATAAGAATCAAAGTTCCATTTAAAAAAAATACTCCTATATGCAATAAAGTTCTCTTTTTCAAGAAACAGTTCATGTTTTGGAAAGTGAAACCTAACTCATTCACTGAAAAAAAGGGATGCAGGGAAATTCCATAACTCAGAAGCCACAATAATACAAATACTACCTTCGATTCTGCAACTGGGACTTCCCCAAGGAAGAGACATAGCAGATTTTGCTGAGTCACCTGTAATGTTATCCAATCAGAGTTAGAGAGGGAAAGCGCCTTTGCAAATAAATACTGCATTCTAGCCCCACGTTTTCTGAGACACTGCTCAACTGCTTAGATATCCTGAGCCTACTACTGCAGAGGAACCTCCAGTTGCAGCACCATGAATCAAAGTGCTGTTCTTATACTCTGCCTTATCTTTCTGACTCTGAGTGGAACTCAAGGTAAGGAATATTAAGGATATTTAATTTGTAAGGTCAGAAGTAGGACTGGGTATAAATTCTATAAATACGGAAATAATGTATTTGAAAAAGTTTTACAGCCTGCCTATAAATGAAGGGTAAATGAGCAAAGATTCCTTCTGCCCACAGAGTTTATAGTCAGAGAAGCAAGTGGAATAAAAGAGGAGGAGAGTGGAAGCAGAAGAGGGAGTACAGAGAAAATGTGAGGGAATGAGGAGAAGATGGCACAGACTCCTCCTTAGTTAACTCAGCTTAATTAACCATATGAACCGTGCTCAGGGATATGATCTTACAATCATAATGTTGTAATTCCATTCTTTCAAATAATCAACTAATCATTCAGAGCTGCATTATAATGGGATCACTCCTTCTCAGATTAAGTGATTATGTGATGACACAGGGATACAGTTTCTGCTAAGTACTACACAACCCACATTAAATGTCTGAAATAAAAACTGCACTAACCTCTCCTGCTGTAATTGCCTCTTTTCCCACAGGAATACCTCTCTCTAGAACTGCACGCTGTACCTGCATTAACATTAGTGATCGACCTATTCCTCCAAGGTCCTTAGAAAAACTTGAAATGATTCCTGCAAGTCAATCTTGTCAACGTGTTGAGATCATGTGAGTAAAATCCCATCTGATCACCTCCCTAGTTGTAATGGTATAGTAAATATGTGACGATGACCACAAATCGGTAAGGGGTTTGTGATGATTCTAAGACTTCTATATAGCAAAGAGAAACATCTAGGGTGAAACTTAAATATCTGACTTAAAAACTCTATATTCCATCTGTTGTACTATTACAACATTGTTTTAAATATTTTCACTCCTATTTACTGCTATAGTGCCACAATGAAAAAGAATGGGGAGAAAAGATGTCTGAATCCAGAGTCCAAGACCGTCAAGAATTTACTGAAAGCAATTAGCAAGCAAAGGTAGGTCTGCTGTTGCTTATATAAGAACTGCTCTTTAAGAAACATCAATCTTGGGAAGTTAGAAATATTTGCATCGGGCTTTCCTGTGGGATCCTTGGCTTAAAAGTGTGTTACCACCATGCTGTCCTCTAACCGTATTTATTTATATACTGAGGTGCCATCTTGTGCGGTATCAAAAGTTACCCTGATTTACCTGTCTAGAAGTGTTTAATAGGTTACTTCAACCTTGAGGCAGAGCTATAACTATCCAAGCAAAGCTGCCAAATTTCCCCCATGCCTTTCCTGGCCTTAAAAAAGCAACCCCTGTAATCCACAATGATTGCGTAGCAGTAGAAAAGCTCTCCACACACTGCACCTGAGGACTTAGAGTTATCTATGAACTCAGTGTGTTCCAAGCAGAACTGAGACTGAAGCCAGAGTTGAGAGGGTCACACTTTTACACCCGCTTTCTCTTCTTACAGGTCTAAAAGATCTCCTCGAACACTGAGAGAAGTATAATTACGGTACTACTGATACGGATGGCCAAAGAGAGGCCGCCTCTGCCATCATTTCCCTGCATACAGTATATGTCAAGCCCTAATTGTCCCCGGATTGCAGTTCTCCTAAGACGACCAACCAGTCACCTAATTAGCTGCTACTACTCCTGCAGGGAGGTGGATGGTTCATCATCCTGAGCTGTTCAGTAGTAACTCTGCCTTGGCACTATACTATAAGCTATGCTGAGGTGCTACATTCTTAGTAAATGTGCCAAGACCTAGTCCTGCTACTGACACTTTCCTCGCCTTGCCTATACTCTAAAGGTTCTCAACGGATCTTTCCACCTCTGGGCTTATCAGAGTTCTCAGATCTCAAATAACTAAAAGGTACGCAATCAAAGCAATAATACAATCTGCTTTTTTAAGAAAGATCTTCACTCCATGGACTTCTACTGCCATCCCCCCAAGGAGCCCATATTCTTCCAATGGTTAAATACACAAAATTCCAAATACATAGAAGAAGCTAGAAATGTTGGAAATGTGTGAAAACAGTATTATTTAATGGAAAGCTATACAAAATAGAAGTCTTAGATGTACATATTTCTTACATTGTTTTCAGTGTTTATGGAATAACTTACGTGATTAAGTACTACACATGAATGACCAATAGGAGAAAATTTTTGAAATCTAGATATATGTTCTGCATGATATGTAAGACAAAATATGCTGGATGTTTTTCAAAATAGAAATAATGTGCTCTCCCAGAAATATTAAGAAAAGATTGTTTAACTGCTGAGAGACAAAAAAAGTAATAAAGTAATTATATCAAGATGAAGTGTGTGATGGGTCATTTGATTGGAACATTTATTTCATAAGAAGCTTAAGTTGGAGAATCCATAGCCTAGAGAAGACGATGGGATGGGGAGAGGACAAATGAGTTTGAAAATTATCATATTCCTTCCAAATGTAGTCTCCTTAAAGGCCCATCATACAAGATTCCTTTAGGACCCATATGGCATAAAAGAGTTTGGCCTGAGCTTCAGACCCTTGTAGCCAACTTTCTATGAGACATCTCCATCTGGATATCCCATAGGAACATCAAACTCCAAAATCCCTTAACTTAATTCCCCTCTCCCTACAGTGATTTCTCCTCATCTATTCTAACAGTTCCCCAAACCAGAAACCTGGGAGTAATTCTATACTTCTCCCTCACCTCCCATACCCAACTAGTCACTAAAAAGATATTTGCAACGCATTTAGTTGGCAAATTATTAGTATCTAGAATATATATAGAAATCCTGAAAAATAAAAAGGAAAAGATAAACAACTAGTTGAAAAACGGGAAACAGGAAGTGAACAAGAATTTCACAGAAGAAAAATGCACAAGCCCTTAACATATTAAAAGATGTTCAACCTCATTAGTAATCAGGGATATGTACATCCAAATCATTATGGGATACCATTTCACAACACCAGACTGGCAAAAAAATTTTAAGTTGGATAATATCAAGTATTAGGAAGGATAAAGAGCAATGAGGAATACCCTTCCACTGCTGGTCAAACAGAAAATAGCTATGGCTACTTTGGAAAACAGTTTGGTATTATAAAACTTAACATGTGCACACTCTATGTCCTAGTAATTCTACTACTATGTATATGCCACAGATAAATTCTTGCATAGGACAAGTATGAGGGAATGTTATAGCAACACTGTTTAAAATAGCAGAACTCTGGACAGAATCCAAATATCCATAAGTAGAATGAATAAGTAAATTAAAGTATGTTAACTCAATAGAATATTATACAGGAATAATAATAAATGGAAAGGAATGGAAGGAAAATAAATGAAGTACAACTATACACATCAACATGGATGAATCTCAAAAATAATCTTGCACAAAAGAAGCATGTCACAGAAACGTACATGCAGCATGATTCCATTTACTATAAAGTTTTAAAACATGCAAACAATATTGTATTTAGGAGCAAAGACATATATGATAAAAACAACAACAACAAAGGAATGATTTCCATAAAACTCAGGATGCTGATTACTTCAGGAGGTGAGAAGGGAACGCAATCAGGGAGGGGCACACAGGGGCTTCTGGACTTTGGTAAAGTTCTATTTTTAGCCTAGATAGTGGGTACCTAAGAATTTGTTCTTTAATCTGTACATACACATTTTAATTTTTTTGAATACATGCTTTACTTTACATTAAACAGGCAAAATGAACTAGCAAAGAAACAAAGAACTCCAGAATATTACAAATTGTGAGATGTCTTCATGAATATCAAGCAACTTCACAAAGCAAAACTAAAGAATAACAAAGCTATCACTGGGGAGGTTAATATACTGCATGGTGACTATAATCAACCATACTGTATTGCATATTTGAAAGTTGCTAAGAGAGCATATCTTAAAAGATCTCATCACGGGACCGGCCCGGTGGCATAGCGTTAAGTGCATATGTTCCAACTTGGCAGCCCAAGGTTCACCAGTTCAGATCCCAAGCCATGCTGTGGTAGGCATCCTACATATAAAGTTGAGGAATGTGGGCAGGGACGTTAGCTCAGGGCCAGTTTTCCTCAGCAAAAAGAGGAGGATTGGCGGCAGATGTTAGCTCAGGGCTAATCTTCCTCAAAAAAAAAGATCTCATCACAAGAAAAAAAACATCCAACTATGTATGGTGACTGACGTTAACTAGCTTATTTTGGTGATCACTTTGCACTATATACAAATACGAAATCATTATTTTGTACACCCGAAACTAACATAATGTTATATGTCAATTATACCTCAATGGGAGAAACTGGAAAAAAATAAATAAAAATCTAATCAATACCAAAACAAAAGGAGAGAAAGCGCTATCCGCATTCTGGTATATGACAAAGAAATACAGTATATGACCATTACTATGGGGGCTTTAGACTGCATCACAGCAAAACTGGAAGTTGCATTATTTCTCCTTCTTGTCCTCATTTTCTTTTTCTTCCTGACCCGCTAAATCTGTATAAAGGGTCACTTATCTTATTCTTAACTGACTGTCAACTAATTTTCAATAAAGTGTTAACCAATAAAGATTTAAAATGCTCTCTGTCAAAAGCAGGCCATTCATTTAACATTTATTTATGCCCATCATATACCAGGTTATAAAAAAGGCCTATGCAGTGTGCTTATAATTTACTATTGGTGACAGAGATAAAGGTAAATAAATTTAAACTGAAAAAACTCCAAATGTGTAAAGAAAATAGAGAAAATCAGGGAAGTCTTTCCTGGGAAAGTAACAGTGATCTGGAATGTGAAAGATGCATATCTATCTGATAGGTGATAAACAGAATCTGACAGAAGAGGAAAAGTGAATTCCAGTAGAGGAAAGAGCATGTACAAATACACAGGTGTGAGACAGCACAGTGTGTTTAATCTGGAAGAACGTAAGTATAAAGTTAGAGGTATAAATATTGAGAAATGATGCTGGAGAGACAGAAATTAGATTATGAAAGCCTTTCTATGTATGCTAAGTATGCCATCACCATTAATACATATTTACAAACTATATATGTATTATAAAACATACACAAAAAATAATGTATAAGATTGCTAGACTATGCTATAGTAACAAAGCTCCCAAAATATTAAAGACCTAATACAATGAAAGTTTACTTCTTGCTCCACAAAATTCCATGCAGGTTGGCAAGGCCTCTATGTTAACTCAGGAACACAGTCTCTCTCTGTCTCAATTGAGGGTTACCATGACAGGAAAGAGAAGGATGGAAATGGCATACTGGCTCTTAAATGCTGCAGTCCACATTACCTTGTCTGTAACAAGCTATTGCCTTATTTAATTGCAATGAGGGATAGAAAATATAAGAGAAAGTATACTTGTCTCTGCCACAAATAAAGAAATTTCTAAGTAAGATTTTAAAAAATTATAAGCCAGAAAATAAGGCTCATGCAGAAATCTAGCTCAGAAAAAGAAATCTAGACAGATATTTATAAGAACAAAAGTCTACCTTCTTAGGGAAGTTAGATCAGAGGTGAAGAATAATTCTCTCTCTGGATAGAAGGTCTACACTGTTTGATGTAAATAAAATTTGATGTACACAGTGAACAAATGGACACATATACTGTGGTATGGTCACGTTACAAACCTCAAAGGGAGAATCTCTTTTTCTGAGAAAATCTATGGCCCACGATGATCAAAATGTTGCAACATGGGCTGGTGCCATGGTCTAGTGGTTAAATTCAGCACACTCCACTTCAGCAGCCCAGGTTCAGTTCCCAGGCACGGACCTAGACCACTCATCAGCAGCCATGCTGTGGCAGTGACTCACGTACAAAATAGAGGAACACTGGCACAGATGTTAGCTCAGGGAGAATCTTCCTCAGCAAAAAAAAGAAAGAAAAAAAATGTTGCTGCTTGATTTAAGAACATTGGCCTCCTACAAAGAAGAGAACAGGGAAAGGGAAAAATGATTGTAATTTTGTCTTTCAATTTTCTTTGCCAGACCATACTTAGTTAATTCACTGTTCCACATTTACACCTTGATAATTGCCTAAAACTGTTCTCCCTCCATTCAAGAGCTGGCTGAGAAGCTCAACAGGGCAGTAAGAACATGCAGTAACTACTCTGGTCATTCTGAACAAGTCATTAAAGCCTGCCTGGGCCTGCTTTCTTACCTATAAAAGAGGAGAAATAGCAATCATCCAGAAATGTTGCTAAGATAAATAACTGTCAAGAGTTAATTAAAATACTATTTCTAGGTGACTGTAGATGATTTTGTTTGTTTTTCTTTATTTTCCAAAATTTCTACAAAGAACATTTTTACTGTTTATATTCAGAAGGAAAAAATTTTAAACAAATGGAAACCAATTTTCAAAGACACTAAATTCTAAGTGTCAACCTTAAAGGGCTAGGATTTATGTTCTCGGCAACCTTCATGAAATGACTCATCTCTAAGAAAGATTCAAACTGAAAATAGAGTCATATACATACCAGAATTTCTTTCTCCTTGCTAGGCTAT